CTTATTTAATTCTCTTTTAACTTTTGTAATCAATTTTAACTGTTTTTGTTTTTTATACTATCATAAACTGCCTTGGATACCATTTTGGGAGGAAGGTGGGCTATAAGTGCAATAAATAAACAAATAAACAAACATAAAATTGGTGGGAGAATAACATAATTCAAGACCAGGTACACAAAGGTACCGTACATTTTCCAAGCTCTGTCATTATTTTGTCACCTCTTAGAGTAACATGATATGATTAGTCCAACATCTCCCTGTCCTCTCCACCCTTTCTCTTTCCACTTTATTCTTTTATTTTGCCTCTCCTTCTTGCATTCCTTTGTTTACCCTTGAAAGACAGATGAAGGCTTCCAAACAAGATAGCAGTGTAGGCAAGTCAAGCATTAACCTCTAATTTACTGTGTCATACATCTATTTTTTGTAAGTAATATGACTGATCCATTACAGTGTGATGCTGACCCAGCGGTGTTAGTATATCCTTTGTAATATTTTTTGATTTATGTAAGTCCTCTAGTTATTAGTTGTTGGGAAAGGGGATACAGGCATCATACAGGAGCCTTTATTTGAGAAGAACGTAGTGACTTGAATGGAAAGGAAGCCATTATGTTGCAGTAGTCTGAGCGCTGGACTAGGGCCCTGGGAGATCAGAGTTTGAATTCTTGGACAGTCAGGGCAATTTACTGTGTAATCTCAGTGAGTCACATACTCTCAGCCTTAGAGGAAAGCTGAATAAAATCTTGCCAAGAAAACCCTATGATAGAATCGTCATAAGTTGATGTCAGCTTAACAGCAACATCAAAATGGGGTTGTTCACATGGGCCAAATGGCCCAGGTTTCCCCTGGCCTCATGTCATCTAGTGCAAACAATGCAGAACAAAGCCCTTGGGGCAGAATCAAGCTGATCCTGCCTGTGTAGACACAGATCCAGAGGATCTGGTCTGACCTGGGGGGTAAAGAGCCTTTACACTGGGGTAAAATAGCCCTGGTTTTCAATGGAGTTTCTAAGAAACTCTGCAGTAAAACCAGGCTGTTCAGACAGCCCCCTTCCTTATCTTTCTGGTGGTGGATCCAACTGAGAAGCCCCTTAGTCACTCCATCTTACAAGGTAATAGGGTGCCTGGTCACATGGTTGCAGCCAGGTGCCACATTTCCACATCAGATGGGTCAACTGGGGGGGGGGTGTTCTCAGTTGGATCCACTGTCAGAAAGGTGTGGTGTGCAGATCCTGGATTGGTGTGGGTATGAGTGCATGAATACCTGCCTGTTCCTGCACTTACCCAGGGACTAACCTGCATGAGCACTGGGGCCAGGATAGCACCACAAGTGTGACAGGACTCTTGGAAACTCCTCAACCATGCTGAGTGCTGCTACTGGCCCTGGTGTCTGTTACTTGTTCCAGGCTCTATCCATACCCTGTAGAATTGATACCACTGTAATTGTCATGACTCCATACTATGGAATCCTAGAATGTGTGCTTTCATGAAATACTTAAGAATTCTCTGCCAGAGAGATCTAATGCTGTAGTTCAGTGGCATACACTATAGCAGTGTTTCACAGGTTATGTGATGTGGGGACTGGATTTCCCCCCCAATATCCAGGAATGGGTAACATATTTGTGCCCATTGGCTACAACTATGCCTTTCTTTCCAGGAAACTCACCACAGAGTGGACACTTATTATTATTATTATTATTATTATTATTATTATTATTATTAATAATAATTCATGGACCAGCATTGATATAGAGACCAACACTTTGAGTAGCACTGGACTACAGCACTCTAAATACCTTATGAAACTGCAAGCCCCATGATCCATGGAGCCATGTCAGTTAAGGTTGCTTCAGAGTGCAATAGAATTGTGCAGCATGGATATATTTTGGACACCAGCATTTAGATTTTGTACAAAAGTATTTATGTAACACTAGTATAGGTTCAACAATGGCCTTTCCACAGCAGGCACACTGGAGATGAAGATAGGTGGTTTATGTGTTCAGAGGAAGTGGTTTCAACACATGTTCTCTGCAATGAAAACAAATGCCTTGGACTACAGAGAACATGTGTTGAAACCACTTCCAGACCATTTTAAAATATATTTCTGGTCTTTGTCTTGAATGTTCCAGGAGCAAATTTATTTGTACCTGTATAGCAAGAGGTTGAAGGAGGAAGGCAACTGTGTGTACTACAGTTCATACCTCCTGTAGCTATAAAAGATTTACAGGATCAAGTTGTTATAGGAGGCTGGAACAATTTTCTGTTCACTTGAAGAATTTTATTCTGAGAAATCACAACACCCTCTATGTTACTTTGCCAAAATTAGCATATGATGAAAAGTAGTCCATTCAAATTTGTTTCAAAAGCCACTTTAAAAATTAGTGGGTGGGTAAAAAAAGGCATGCCGTGCCTTTTTAGTAAAAGTGAGTGTACAATATATGGCAAGTATGGTGTTTTGGTATTAATGCTTATTCTTTAAAAAGTAGTTTGAAAAGTTAAAAAGCCCAATAATTATCAAGTTTTAGTATGTGGAGTGGTCTTCAACTGCATCACACCATGCCTGATACTTACAAAGAGAAGCTTTCATTGGTGCTTCACCTATGCATCACAGCAGAAGGTTTGTACTCTGTGCCATATTTCTATCAGTAGGATTTAATGCTTAGTTTCTGAAACACTAGTGCACAATATGGAGGAGGAGGGGGGTTGAAGAAAAGCTTATTTTAAAAGAAGCATAGATCTTAACACAATCAAATATGATTTATGTATAGGAAGTCTCTATTTCTCCCTTTCCAAATTCAAGCACCAGGAGATGGAAGCTGCTCTTTAGGTTGCCACTATAAATCAAGGAGGACAGGCAAAACCCTTCAAAGACAAGGAAATAGGCTTATTAAATTTCAGTTGGTCACATTCCCAACTGACACTATTTACATGCAAAGCATGATTTATTAATTGTAAATATTTCCTATTTAATGTGCTGATATTTGTCAAGTCTGGAACATACCGGTGTGAATAAGAACACTTGTACACCAGGGGTTACAAGATATATTTGTTACAAGCACAGTATTATTTTAAGCAACACTTAGGATAATAAGACTCCTGAAACGTGAGCAGGACAAACAGAGAAGATTCAGAGTGTACTTGAAGAGTGATAGTTTCTGAGGAAATAGTATCTCTAAATACTTAAGTCATATGTTTGTTTCTACTGAGAAGAATGTAAAGATGTATTTATATCTGGATGATCATAAACCAAGTATGGGGAGTTAGAAAATCCCACTGCTGTACCACAAAGCTGAAGGTGTAAACATTCTCCTTTTGACTCCATTAATGAGATTATCCATTGCACTATAAGCATGTTCTGTAGGTCATTCACAATAAATAAATAAATAAAATAGAGGTGTGAATTTTGTCTCATATTAGATGCTAAGCGGACTCATGTAAAAGAAAAGAACTGGCAGTGTGTATGCTGTTTGTTTTTAAAAAATGGCAAGCATGGATGTGGCCTTGATAGTTTTTTATTCTCTTTTGTTTGTTATCTGAATGGTGTCTGAATATCTCTACTCGTATCTGCCTGGTATTCTACACACTGGGAATATATCTACATTGAGGTATATTGAATTGAGCTTCACGCTTGTATCCAATCTACTCTAGCACCCAACACAATTCATGTCTCTATGTACACACTCAAGAGATTTGTTCTTTGACTAGGATTTGTCAGAGCCTTTGTTTGTTTGCAGTGGAACAAAATCACTTAAGAGAGTTGCCTTTTTGAAAACCAAGAAAGGTATAGCAATCTTTATGGCCATACAGAGGAGGCCATAAGGAAAAGAATGCCTTTGTACAGTGGCGTCACTAGGGTGGGCATCAGCCAGTGTGGTAGCTCATGGTGTAACCTCCCCAATTGACCTCCTGCCATACCATACCACATAGAATGTTTAGTAATGTTTTTTGTTATTCATAAATCGTAATTCCTGTATATCATTGAATGTAATAGCAATAGCTGTGAGATAAATAACTAGCAAAATTATTATTTACTAAAATTATACCTTTAAATCATACTATTGTATGCACAGCCTAAGTGTATTTACATGTACGTTGTTTCATGTGGTTAAAGTGAAAATTTGGTAAAATGTGGTTTTTAAAGAAAACTGAAAAAGAATGGCCTGTCTTTGGACTCTTCACTCCATCCTATGCATTTGATGTAGTAGTCTAGGAAAGCTCATACAATGAACTCTTGGTATCTACTGGGGTTTGGTTCCAGGACACCCACCCCCATGGTTACCAAACTTAATAGATGCTCAAGTCCCATTATGTATTAAAATGGTGTCTCTTATATAAAATTGCTAAATCAAGTCCTGCTTTTGGGGACATAATATATATATATAGTGCCCCTCCGCTTTCGTGGGGGATTTGTTCTGTACCTCCCCTGTGAAAACAGAAAACTGCAAATATTCAAGCCCCATAGGCTTGAATGAGGATGCATGCCCCATTTTATTCCCCTCCGTTTCCCACCTGCGAACGGGTGAGGGACATGGACTTGAAGTCTGAAAAAATGGAAAGGCAACTGTATATATATATATATATATATATATATATATATATAGGAATATTTTCAAGCAGTGGATGGTTGAATCTGTGGATAAAGAATCCATGGTTAAGGAAGGCTGACTGTACTAATGGTGTCTTTCTTTCACTTAGGCTGCATCCACACTGCAGAAATAATCCTGTTTGGCGCCACTTTAACTGCCATGGCCCAAGGCTATCAAATTATGGGAACTGTAGTTTATTGTGGCACCAGAGCTCATGGGTAGCATCCCCCCTTCCTCCTCCTGAGCCCAGCCTTTACTCGTGAGAAGCGGGAACACTCCCCACAAGGTCTCCCACAGGTTTTCGAAGCTCCATTGGCTTCTTCATCAGGCAAAAGATGTTAAAAAATCATGTGCGTGTGTGTGTTGTGTGCCTTCAAGTTGTTTCCAACTTATGGTGACCTCTAAGCTGAATCTGAGAGCCAGTGTGGGGCAGTGGTTTGAATGTTGGACTAGGACTCTGGAGACCAAGGTTTGAATCCCAGCTCAGCCATGTAAACCTACTGGGTAACACTGGGCAAATCACACTCTCCCAGCCTCAGAGGATGGCAATAACAAACCCTGCTGAAGATACTTGCCAAGAAAACCCTATTATGATAGGTTTGCCTTAGGGTCACCATGACCTGAAGTAACACAACAATGACTTGAAGGCATACACCACCATCAACAACCCATTCTCTGCCACTGCAAACCTCCTCTGAACAAGTTTTGCCAAGAAAACCCCATGACAGGGTCACCATAAGTATGAAACGAATTGAAGGCACACAACAACAAAGGCTTTACACTGTTTTACACCTCAATGCCCCTATGCCCTTCCATTCCAATTCAATTCCATCAT